ATGAGTTTCATGCATTGGACAATAGATTACTGTCTGTTCGTGCTTCCAAATCCTGTTCATTTTCCGAAAAGACTAACAAAAATTGAAACGAGGAAAGGTTCGGTTGTCACTATCATTTTCATCAGTCTGCGGATAAAATAACTTGTCAGACCCACTACGACATCCTGAAAAGTCCTCTGGACTTAGTCGGAAGAGCACGCTGCTTGAGATGCCGAATCGGTCCATCCTGACTCGTGGCGGTGAAAGGCCAAATTAACAGCTTTTCAAACATGCCATGCAATACTAATTTTAATGATTTCCATTAAGCGTATTGAGAGCTTTCTTACGGGGATTTCCTTTTTGCAGAATATTTCAGATGGAATATCTGTAATGGGGATCGAGGTTCTTGCGTGCAATCGAGTTTCATCATGTTAGGGGATCCCATGACACAAATAACCAGGAAATAGTATCGTTCTGCCTCATCCCCTCAAAATAAATCTCATTTCTTTCCCTATCAGACGGGTTGGGTTACGATTGGGACTTAATACTCCCAGGAAGAAATGAGGCATTTATGCTCTTTGGTTGCGCCCCTGATTACCCCGGTAATACGAGGGGAGAGTAAATCAGTAAATCATGCTGTGTTACCGGACCAGGAGACCAATAAAACATTCATACTAAAAAAGAAAAACAGTGGTGGATACCAGGAAGGGAAAGTGTGTTCTGTCTAGACCATCAGAGACTTTCCTGCTCCAGTCTTCCTCTCCGGACCCTGTCTCATTCCTCTTCCTGCTGGAGCATGAATGCAGCCTAAAGAGGAGTGCCACGTGGCACCAAATACTACGTATAGGTTTCGTAAAGTAGGGCACGAAGGATAGTACGGATGAAGAAATTATCGTTCTATCAGTGATGGAGTGGCAATATAGGATAATGTAGAGCTAGGGATGGCATTGAGAGATACAGTTAAATGTCACAGGTTCGGTGGTGCAATGGTAATACACCTGACCGGCAATTAGGAGGGCCGGGTTCGATTCCTGACCGTTCCTTAGTATTCCTTCGTCCTCTCATGCCATCCAACTCCTCCCTCTACAGGCCTCTACGCCTGCATTAAAAAAAGACGTAGGGAAAAATGCATTAAGAAAAGCCCGACAGTTGGGGCATACGTGGGTCACTCTGAAAGTTTTTAGAATCAAGGAGACTACGCACCGAAATTGAACCAACTTTCTATAGATGCTCGAAGTAGTCACCATCACACTGCACGCAAGTTTTCATCCGCTTGAACCAGCTACCATCACCCCCCCCGGAATTTTTTGTATAGATTTGTGTTTTCTTCAGCAGACGATAATGAGTGACTCATGCTACGTATAAGTAAGTTCTTGATGTGATAGAAATATGAAACTTGTTACACATACGTGGGTCACTCTCAAAGTTTTTAGAATCAAGGAGACTACACACCGAAATGGAACCAACTTTCTACAGATGCTCGAAGTAGTCACCATCACACTGCACGCATGTTTTCATCTGCTTGAACCAGCTTTCAAAGGACGTTTTCCACATTCGATCAGTCAGAGGAGCCATTATTGCCTCCTGGTAAGCATTGATAGCCTCATCGGCGTCACTGAACCGGCGTCCACGCAGCTGTTGTTTAACTGGAACAGAAAGAAGTCGCAGGGACTCAGATCAGGCGAATAGGGTGGATGGGTCACAAGTCTGACTCCCTGCTCCGCCAGAAAGTCCAAAGTGCGAACTGCAGTGTGAGCAGGAGCGAAGGCGAATAGGGTGGATGGGTCACAAGTCTGACTCCATGCTCCGCCAGAAAGTCCAAAGTGCGAACTGCAGTGTGAGCAGGAGCGTTGTCGTAATGAAGGAGCAACCCACGAAGACTAGTCCTTGGACGCATCTGCTTCACTTCAGCCAAGACGACGGGCAGACATACTTTGATGTACCATTCGGCAGTCGCCGTACGATGATCCTCTAATATCACCGTCTTCCCATGACCAGATCTTCGGAAAAAAGTGGCCACCATCTTCTTGTTGACGCTTCGAGTCCGACGAAACTTCTGTGGTGGAGACTCATTAGAAGATGTCCACATGGCTGATTGCAGCTTGGTTTCTGGATCAAAGTTGTATATCCAGGTCTCGTCACTTGTCAGGATATCGGATACCAAGCGAGACTCTCCCTCTGCAAATTTTTCCAACATATAGGAACACCACTCCTTGCGTGCCTGTTTTTGTTCTGCAGTCAGGCAGTGGGGCACCCAACGAGAAACAAGCTTCCGCAAGCCAAGACGTTGATGCAGGATCTCGTGGTGTGCAGCCGATCCGACGCCGAAGGCAGCCTGAATCTCCTCATAAGTGATTCGACGATCGTTCTCAATCAGGTTACGCACACGCTCAATGATGTCAGGAGTAACAGCAGTGGTGGGGCGGCCCACGCGAGGTTCGTCTTCGAGTGAGTGTCGTCCTTGGCGGAAATGGGCAAACCAATTATACACTGTGGTACTTGAAGGTGCAGTGTCTCCAAAAGCTCCTCTCAAGGACTGGTAGCAATCTGCTTGGCTGAAAATGGGCAAACCAATTATACACTGTGGCGCTTGAAGGTGCAGTGTCTCCAAAAGCTCCTCTCAAGGACTGGTAGCAATCTGCTTGGCTGAAGCCTTTTTTGAAATCATAGAAAATCATAGCCCGCCAGTGCTCTCGAGTGAGCTCCATTGCAACGTGGTAAAATACTACCACTAAGGAAAGTCAAAGAAGCTATAACTTTGTTAATACGACTCGGAGTAGAATGACATTTGGTATGTAGAGCAATAAAGAGTTGTACAATAGCATCATAGCCTAAAGCAAAGGATCGTGTAATCTCCTAGCCTGATTCTAAAAACTTTCAGAGTGACCCACGTAATGAGTAAAATTTTGTCTCGTATTCACTGCGACGCTTGAATTTTGCTTGTCTACCCCAGTGGTCCCCAAACTTTTCGAGTTGAGGGCCACATGGATACTTGGGGTCCACCTTGAGTGGGCCGCATCGAAAAATCCTGCCAGTTCGCAAAATTTCAGCAAAGCAAACCCTTCAACTCTCCGCTCCACTTTCAGGTCGGGCTGTGTTAAGCCATGAAACCTCATTCTAGCCTGAGCAGAAAAAGAGATGTGCCTAAACCTGCCGCACCTACTCACACTTTGACCCATTTCGATAATTATTAATTTTTTTCTCTTACCTTTCAATATTTGCTGGCAAGGTAAATATGTTTATATTTGCTATATATTAAGTCTTTAAATTATAGACAAGTTCAGAAGGACCACACTTACGTATATACATAACATTTACATGTAAATGTGTAATTGTAAGTACTTGAGTAACCGGAACATCATAAAACTGACTGAATTTTTCATTCAGGATCGCAAGATTCCAAATCTATGCTGAAATTTTTTTAAATCGGAATTATTATTATTATGAATGTCGGTTAAAAAATTAAGAATGAAAAAGTGAATTGTTAGGACATAGTAGTGGGCCGCATAAAAAACATGAACTGGGCCGCAGTTGAGTACCGCTAGTCTATCCAGTCCAACTACGCCGGCATTGCCTTTTATGGAAACTCATTAATTTTGGGTTGTCACCGGCCTGTCGAAATGTTGGAAAGGGGCTCGGAGGCTATCAGTAGCGGACCTAGGTGTTCATAGCACTCGTCAGGCATTTTATCAATATTTCAAAAATCATTTATACATTATGCCTGCCCCTCCCCCTTCAAGAGCGGCACGCAACTGCCTGGCGGAATGGTCAAAAGGATGTCACCCTCTCCTCTCAGGGGAGAGGGTGACAGATGGCATTTAATGACCCCTTTGAAGATTAAAAGTACAACAGGTTCCCACAATGGTTGTGTTCATAAATGAAGGGACCACCCTTAAGGCATCGCACACAGTGTGTAATGCGTGCGATTTCGGCACGCATGCAGGATGCGTGTTTGCATGCGTCCACATTCGTTCGAACGCAAGGGAATACGCGTGTACGATAGCATGCCCTCACACATTTGGGTCATCCCACAGACATAGGGACAATTGTCAAAAAGAGAAATCCTAAGTTTAATGCCAGATAAGGAGGGCAATCCAATACATCACATTAAGATATATATTCTGATTAATTAAAGAAAACCCTATTCAAAACATAGTGATTGCGATTCCTTTATACTTGTGAAGGCGTATGGGCATAAATGTACATGTGTGTTCCCATGCATTTGAATGCATGTAGATGCATGCAGACGCATGCCGCATGCGTGTCGAAATCGCTCGCGTCACACGCTGTGCGATGGCCTTTACTCTTCAGTTCTGTCTCTACTTCTCTCAAGCATTTCTGCTAACACAGCGCCTTGAAATCTTTGTAGAAACTTAATTGGGGAAAATTGTCCCATGTGGGTATGTACAAACTAACTTTTAACAGTTTTCCTACATTTCAAGCGACACGTTGTCTCTTGTGGTCGAATAAATTCATATTGAAAGCTTCATTTCTTTCACAAATTTCTCCCAAACGTTACTACTGTCATGGCGCGAAATGAAACAAATACGACGTACATCTTGCCATGAGAACTAGCCGTCTTGCAGCTTAGGCCTAGGATTATACTTTCCCTCTGTAATTTTGTCACTTGATTTACTTTTAAAATATTTGCATATTTAATTGCATCCACATGCTCGGAAAGCAATACTGAAAAATAGAGAGCAATTCTGGGCAAATATTAATCCCTGCACAGTTTCAAAGGTTTTCTGGCCCCCTTTGTACGGACTTACTCTATCTACTGTCGCTTTCAGAATAATTACTATGGCGGAAACCCAAGGTAAGGCAAGTGAGCTTCGAAGGAAAGAGAGCGAGACGAGATGTATAGCTCTGCCACAAGGGCCCAGGATTCTTGCCCACTTTCCCTTTCTTGGACACTTGGCTCCATACCTTTCTGGGGTTGGAATATTAATTTTGACTTATCCTATATTTTCAGTTTTTCTCTTCAGGATTATTCAGAGTCGCTGGATTGAAACGGATGGTAGTAAATCGGAAGTGCTTTATTCACATAACCCCATGCGATGAGAGAAATGTTGAGCAGCGGTGGGTCAAGGAATGACAAGTCTAAAAACACAATTCTGGCATGGATTCAATAACTAAGAGAGACAGAATGACTGGTGCAGTGCAGGACAGATAGTTGAGAATACATAAGGCAATATGGTTCATCTCACTCAGTGAAAGCTAGATCCTTGTCATGTCCAGCTCCCCTTCTGATAGGGCTTCTCAGAGACAAGTCTCTGCTTCTTGATGCAAGCACACAGCCAGTCAGCTGTCACAATCTTCAGCTTCTGGTTTTTCTTCTCCAATTCCATCTGATATGTAAAAATAAAATAAAATAAAAACGCTTCACAAGAAGACTTGAAAATAAAAATTTCCAATCATATCAATACAATGGACGTGCCATAATCCGTTTGTACTTCGAAAATTCTGGATGAATTCTGAGAATAAAAAGAATGAGAAAGAAATAGAGTGACCTTTTGCTTCGAGCTGGTGGCTATGGCATGAGTTGCCTGACTGATAACATCCACTTTGACAACTTCAGCATTGTAACTGTCATACAACAGATGTCAAGGAAAACATCTTCATGGACCTATCATAATCAGACTTGGGCTGGTGAGGATCTGAGAAAAGGATACGCAACAAGGTATCGATGAAGCTGCTCTCGGTTGTCTAGATCATCTGGTAGGAGCACTTTGATACCAGAGAAGAAGTCAGGAAGATCCTATCAAGTGAAATTGAGGCCAATTGACAATGTCCTGTGCTACCTTTATAAATGATTTAATGAACAAGAACTCACCCGTTTGAGCTCCTCTACCTTTTTCAAAGGGGACACTGACTGACTTAAGAAATCTTTGATATTTCTACTCTGCTTCTGTAAAAAAAAATGAAAGGGGAGAAACAGATTTCCATTTCATTCTTATATCTCTTCAGGAGCAGCTAGATATTGTACATGCAAATTGAGAAGTAATTACTTGTCTGAAACTCTTCTTTATAGGATGAGTGGGCAGCTCATGAGTTTATGTATAGATCAATAACCTTTGGGTAATTCCATCGTGACTCATGTTACAAATGCAAAACATTTTCAGAAATTAATTCCACTCTGCTTTCTGAATTTTCAATTTAATATCTTCCCTTAAGGCATAACGATAGTAGGCATTGAGCTTTTGCTGAATATAATACTATGACTTTTTCAGAATTCTTCTGAGAGCGAGAAAATGGAAAAAAGTTTTCGTGACTCGTGGTACAATGAAATGACACGATTTCCAAGTGTAGATCTTCCATAAATTAATCCAGCTCTATTTTAAATTGGATTTCGACAGTACTTCGCTGTCATTTAGGTAAAAGATGAGGGATATCATAGCATATAAACTCTAAAATCCATTCACAGAGATTTTAACTAGGTAATTTCTTTGTGACTCACCTTACAGAGAATGTGACTCAAGTTATAGAGTACTCAAGAAACTAGAAAGGCCAGCTTTTCCCATTCATTTTTTACATCATACGTCATCATAACAATGGCAACGAAAAGAACAAGCATCAACTTAATTATAAACATGAGACTCTATTGATTTGGTTCAGTAAATGTAATGGGACATTCCACGTGAAAAGGGGCAAAAGTACTAATATTTTCAAAACGAATGGGCAAACCAACAGTTGATGTCGCCACGAAGAGTGCATCCGAGAGCATATAATTTGTGTTTTTTATCATCCTGGCTGCAATACCATACAACATCGCCATTTTGAATATGAGGAACCCGATATGACCATATTTTTACTCTTCAGAGTATACACTGTTTCTGATACTTTTTTGAAGATGTTATTTGACAAGAGCTGAAAATCTGGCGGTGGGTGACATTTGACGCGTCCTGTCAAAGATGTCTTATCTTCAAGTACCAATGAAAACAAATCTTTTGCTACGTCTTGAGGATGAATGGGTTTTCACGTTTCATGAGTGACAAAAATTGTCATTTAATTATCATTACTCTGTCTTTGCTTTCATGGGCAAATGCTGCTGGTTCTTCTTAGCTATACAGGATTTCATTCCATTCCTATTGGACTCGGACCATAGACTGCATCGGTTCAATATCTTTTGGCTATACAACTTTTGTAACGTGATTGAGAAGTGACTTGAGTCACACAGTGACTTTCTTCCTCTACATTGATTTGGCGGGTTAGTGAGTAAAAAATGCAATAGAGCCCTGCTGAACGGCAGAAACAAAGGAAGAAAAACTGAAGTCAGAATGGAAGAATGATGAATGTATGATGAGAACAAGACCAGTCATCGAAGCAGTTCGAACTTCGCCCCAGACGCTAGATTGTATTGTGTACTTGGTCCCTCGTATGTACAGGATTGGCCAAAAAAAGAGTATGCCGCTCGAAATGTTGCAATAAAATCCATATATTTGAACGGATTGACTTCAAAATTTAATGGAACGTTACCTAATATATTCTTCAGCGGTTTTTTAAATGTCATGTGTCTGGGACTTTCTATTCTTCAGTTATGGCAGGTTTTTTTTGAAATTGTCAAAATTCTGAGTAAACAGGCATGCCACTGCTGTTGCGAAGCATGAATCCACATTTGTCTTAGAATTCATTATATTTATGCACCAGCAATAAATTTTCAGATAGTGAAAAAAACACACTTTTGGTGAAATCTGTAAAAAATTCACTATGATCCCTCAGAAACTGGATTTTAAAGTAGGATTCAAATGTGGATTCGTGCCTCGCAATGGCAGCAGCAATCCTTTTTACTCAGCGTTTTATTTATTTCAACAAAATCTGCTATAACTCAAGAATGGAAAATTGGAGCCACATGATATTTTAACACATTGAAGAACATGGCAGGCAACGTTCCTTTAAATTTTGAAGTCAATCCATTCTATATAAAAAAAATATGGGTTTTATTGCTAAGTTTCGAGAGGCTTACATTTTTTTTGGTCAACATTAGTTCCATTACACAATACTTTCATTACACTTCCCTTCTTGTTTCTGCTTTTCTCTCCTTCGTTTCTGCCTTTCAGCAGCGCTTTATTGTATTATTTTATTCATGTACAACAAATCAATATAGAGAAAGAAAACGATCGCTGTGTGACTCGTGTCACTCAAGACTCACGTTACAAAAGTTGCGCAGCCAATGGATATTGCACCCATGCAGTTCATGGTCCAAGTCCTATTTTGATTGATTGGACTAATGTATAGCTATGAGGAACCAGGGGCATTTGCTCGTGAAATTAAAAATAGAGTAGTAACAATCCAAATGGCAATTTTCTTGACTCATGTTACACGGGAAAATCCATTCACCTTCAAGTCATCGCAGAAGATTCGTTTGCATCAGTAACTTAGGATGAGATGGCTCCTTTGACAGATTGCATCACAAGTCACACACCCCCAGATTTTCAGCTCTTGCAAGTAACATCTTCAAGAAATCATCAAAAACAGTGTACACCATGAAGAGTAGAGAAATGGCCATATTGGGTACCTTAAATTCAAAATGGCGATGTTGCATGACATTGCAGCCAAGATGATCAAAACAATAAATTCTTTGTATTTTAGGATGCACTCTTTAAGGCGACATCCACTGTTGGTTTGCCCACTTGTAATGAAATGTTGATTCATTTGTCCCTTTTGCCGTGGAATGACCCCTTTGCTCTTCCTTCGCTCCTCAAACAAAACATTTTGGTTCCCTCAAGGGAACAGTGGCAACCAACCCACCTAAGTGCAGTAGGGGAGAAATATAAAAGAAGACACCAGAAAAGGCATAGGGAGAGATGCATAGGAGAATACCAATTCACATCGTCTGGTAGGTGAACAATTGGAAGAGAGTGGTATAAAGCTATCATGCAATGATCTCAACCTGCCCAATGCATTTCTTACAAAATTAAAATAGGTTTACACAAGATACACAATCTAGAACAAGATTAAACAGTCCAGGGGCCTAGAGCAACTGACATTTCAATGTTGAAAGGGAGGAAGAGGGAATGACAGTAGGGAGATTTTATAGGCAATAGGTCATGCCACAACAAAAGTTCAGACAACATTCCAAGTCATGACTTGGATGTCGTTCAGCCATCACCAAGAATTATTGCCATGGACTGAGACAAGGAACTGTTCCCCAGCACTAAAACGTGTCTTCCCCCACCACTGCGCTGGGGCAACCATCCATTGGCAAAGATACACTCTACAAATTTTCTGACTCACCACAGATAAAATGTAATTTTTGAAGGACTAACCTTGGGAGGAGTCTTGGCAGGGGAGGAGGAGGAGGAAGAGGAGGAAGTGGAAGGATTTCCAGAAGGCCCTTCCTCAAGGGAATCTCCAGCTCTCTTTCTTCCCTTTTCTTGCGCAAAGGGAACCTCCACATCTGAATACTCCTTTGACTTCTTGTACAACTCCTATATGGGAACATCCAATTGCAGTAAAACTGACAAGCCTTAGGGGATTAGGGCACATAAAAAGAGACAATGGTCACGATACCATGAGTTCCTGGAGATTGGTGGCTGTCTCCCAGTCCTTGTCTTCCCGGAATTTAGTGATTCTTGGAAAACGGATTGAGATCCCATTGGCTGTGTGGATATCAGCACTGGTGAATTCTGCTCCTGTGATCTCCCACACTGGAGCTTCCTGCAGCAAGGAAAAAACCATACCGATGAACACTGATGAATTCATGGAGCAAATGGCAGTACCAGTATGCATACCTTGGGATCCTTGACAATAAAATCAGGAACCATCTGGCGGTTCAATTCAACCCAAGATGGGACTCGAGTTGGGTCTCTGCTGATCTTCTTCATCAGAGGTGATAGTTCTTTCTGGATATTGAAAGTATGGAACTGAGTAAAGGAAAGAACTATGGAGGGAAAGAAAACCGAAAAGAGGAGGGGGGAGGACCTGGAGTTTTGCAAGAGTCTGATCATCAATGCCTGTGTGCACTTTTGTGACAGTCTTCCAGTTCTTAGCCTTGCTGTCATAGGTGCCCATAAGAAAAATGGACATCAGACCACCTAGAGTGATTTTGGAATAATCTCCATCTCATGATGCAATTTTCAGTTCAGAAGTGAAATAATCAAAGGGAGAAAACTTGCCCTTGCTGCCTGAGCCATACCAGGCACCAAGAACGACAAGGTCAGCTGTATCTGCCATAGCACCTTCTTCTAGATAATCTTTCTTCATCTTCATCCATCGCCTTTTTCCAGGCTCATACACACCCTAAACAGACCCACTGACAGTTATGTCATGGTCAATATTTTTTGTTGACATTGTCATATTTTTCTAGTTCACCATATTTTTCTGAAGCAGACCTGAGGGTCCTTGAGGACAAGTCCTTCCAAGCCTTGTTTGAGGACCTTCATGATCATGGTCTGCAGCTCTTCATGGTTCTATGGTGTGCAAATGATTTGAGCTTATGCAATCAAGATCAAAGGGAAACAAAGTTAAAAGAAAAATGGCACCCCTCACAGTAACAAACTTCATCTCAGACAACATGATGTGGTTGGGGATCACAGTCATGTTCTTTTCCAATATTTGCTTCCGCATTTCCAGAGGTCTGCAATAAAAAATGCCTAAACCTTCTAAATTTACTTTTAAATTAAATCTGAGCAAGGAGGTAGCTACTTACTTTCCCATAAGATTTTCTCCATTCAGATGGATGCAGTCAAACACAAACAAGCAGACTGTTGAGTCTTGAAATGCTGCTTTCTGTGGAGTAACATAATGTTGGAATATTGTATTACTATTGGTATTGCATGCAACTCCTGAGAGAATCAGTTATGGAAATTCAAAAGGGCTTGCCTTGTGGACTCCCAAGGTCCCAAAAGGAAGGGGTTTCCCAGTTTTGGCATCCATGAGAAGAACCTCACTGTCGAGGATGAGATCATTGCCATGGGGGAATGCCTTGGGGATGAAGTCTTCAAAATGATTGACCTTGTGTGGGAGAACTGGCTTGAGGCTGCGGGAGAAGTATTTGAAGTCATGGCCTTTTTTGTGGACCTGGACCCTCTCACCATCATACTTGATCTCTGCATACATCCCATTGGGGCAGCGCTTGAATGCCTGAGCCACTGATTTGCATGCCTCTGCCTGGATCACAAGGAAAATATGCTTGAAAAAAAAATTTAAAAAAATCAGTGTATTGCTTCTGTTTCGTTTAGCCTCAGGTTTAGCTAACTCCTCTGAATAACAGCAAAATTGAGAATTAGAAGTCCACATACTGAAGTGGCTCATTCTAGATCCAAAGTTTCTGTATCTAGCAGGAAAACTATCAGCTTCCTGAGAATGGGATAAAAGGCACAACTGTCATTCAAAAGTATAGGATGGCAATACTTGTCCTTCATGAATTTATTCATGATTATTCATGAAGGGTTGAGTCAAGAATATTTACACCTAAAAAAATTAACATTATTTACCAGCATGGGATGTACTGGAGTCATGGTGGAAGCCTTGACACTCAAATCCTTTTTCAAAGAAGCTATTTGATCATTGCTTGAACCTGCTTGGGGTGTGAGGATCTTGTTGACAACAGCTTCCAAGTCATGTGATGCTTGGAATGCTTCATATGCCTTTGGATGTAATGCATCCAACCTAAAGAAAGAGAATCCGTGATTGATGCCTTTCTCCTTGAGATGTGGTCCAATTTAATTTTGTCTATTTTGTGGGACTCTTTGGTACAGAATGTTATTTCAGTGGAAGTGTTCTATTTGTCTTACACATGCTTGGGTCCAGCTGTGATACGGAGATCATGAACAATCAGTCGCACCACCATCTTCAAATCATTCTCAGTGCATCTGAAAACAGCAACAAAACTCAACCTTAATAGAGATATTGCTGGTTCATTACACCAGGTATCAGGCCCCACTGACGGACAATGCTTTAGCATACCAGAAGGGCAAATATATATTGTGGAAGGAACAGGAAATTACTGAATCAGTTCAATACGGATGTTCACCCTAGGACATCAGTCATAGAAGGATGTAGCAGAAAGCTGCATTATTCCACATAGACAACAAAATGGTGCCTGTTCCTCAGGCACCATTTTGAGAGTTTACCTTGCCAGTGGAGAGTTGATAGCATCAAAATGGTCAAATGTTCATTTCTATAAGGCATTTTACATTTTATCACTTGTCACAGCTATGATTGCCTCATGGACACTAACCTCAGCTGGATTTATCTGCTTCCAAAGAAATCTACCCATGTCCCATGGAGAAGTTCTTCATACCCTGGACCAGCCATAATGTAAATAGCTTATCCAAAACTTACCCAAGTAGTGCATAGGTGGTGGGCTACCAACCGGGTGGCCCTCCTACCTACAATAGGTAGCAGGCCAGCAATTGCATGCCCAATTTGCTAGAACATTCCCACCCCTGGCAGAAATCTGCCAGTGTAGTGCCTGGGCTGCTTGCGTCCCACTACTTTTGCACTACTTGGGTAACCCAACTCCTGCTCAATCTACTTCTGACAACATCATATTCCTTACAGAATAATTTATTTCTCCTTTTCTCAATCAACTTTCCATTAGCATTTCCTATTTCCACTTTATTTTCCTCACATGAATTTTCATGGGTGAAATATATTTCTTTGTGAATGGTAAACCTGACAGCTCACTCCTATGAGGTATATGCTTACTATATCTGATGACAACAAATGACAAAAAAAGCCTAAGAACCAAGACTTTGATAATATTTTTTTAATGTCTAGCATATATTTTCTAAATCTCTCAAAGTTCAATCTAGGATGGCTCTCTTTTATGGTCAAGAATTTGCAGAAGCATTCTCACATACTAAGATAAACTTCATATTTCTGCTTGGGAATGATTATACATGTAATTCAGATAGAATCAAAGATAAACAAGGATGACCTGTTCACAATTTTGTGGAGGATCCTTTTCTGTGCCTCCTCACGAGTTTCCTGAGAGAGGTCAGTGAGGAATTGATCAATGTCCTGCATGGATAGTTCACTTTTTCCAGCTGGTTTCTCAATCCCACTCCTCTCAAATGCCACTCGAATCGTCTCAGCAATGTCCCCTTGCTCCAAGTGTTCCAGCATCTCTTCCTCATCGTATGCAAAGATCTGTCAAGAAAAATTAAACCATCCACAGATCAACAACTGAAGTCAAATAGCAACTCTTCCTCTGCACAATTTAACTAATGCCCTGCATGGGTACATGAAAGAATGCCAACTATTCCCCACTTGCCCCCTTGACAAACAGAATGAAAATGGAGACCTGGCTGAAGAGTTTGATAAGTTGTTTTCCTTTGAGATTGTAGATCCGCTTCTGGACACCAGGTAGGAGCATTTTCACCCAAAGACACAGATCACCCTGAAAACCCTCTGAAAGTAAAAGTATTCTCATAGATGGATATCACGCTATTCATGATACAGGGTGTTTGAAAAGTCACTGTGTAGTAGAATTCACAACATGACATAGCTAGGAATCACTGACAATAAATTATGTGAATTGGGGATGGTACTAATATTTTATGAAGTACTAAGTGGAAATTCATGTCTTTGATGATGCAATACATGCGATACACAGTACAATACTAAATACATGCAATAAAATAAATGAATTCTACTGCACAGTGACTTTTCGAACACCCTGTACATCTGAACGGCGAGCGCCAATGGAAAGTGATGAAAAAAGAGGACCCTGAGTATTAAAAAAAAGACTATAAGAAAAGGATGTGACACAGTTGAGAAAAGTATTTCCTCGGTCAGAATTTCCTTGCGACATGATGCTGGATGCAGAAATGGTTATCAACAATACATGAGATTTTAATATTATCCCCATGTGATATATTGGTTTTTCATGAGTGATCCGAAAAAAAAGAAGGCAGAACAAAAAAGACGGATGCACCCATACATTTCGTCTCTATCGCCTAAATTAAGCCCCATAGAATTAAAGGTAAATTAATGATACTTAATACAGTGTTTTTCACTCGAGTCAGCCAATTTTTCACTTGACTCAGGCACTCGTGCATGGGACGTTCCTCATGCATTAGTGTCCAAGTCATGTTAAAAAATGTGTGACTCAAGTTCCAGCAAGAGTTATCTATCATCGATACAAACACGATATGCAATCGTCTTTGTACTCCCCCCAGTCTACGATACAAGGTCACTTCCAGCATATCCCTCTACCCCAAAAAGCAAGAAGGAAACCAGCTTGACTGCATGAGTGACTGGTTAAAGGAATGAAAGAGCGCATGTTAGAGCGCTTCCTCTTCTGCTGTCGTTAATGAAGATATCTTTATCAGTCCCAAATACAGTAGATGTGGAAGAAGGGAAGTATGAAGGACTCACTACCAGAAGTGCCTTTCCGGAAAAACTCATCCAAGATTTGAGTCTTGGCATTGTAAGAGGGCTCATCGGCGATGCGGGCGCAGATTTTTCGGAACTCCCTGAAAGAATTATCCCGATTCCTCGGTTCGCTTCCTCTCCCGGGAATGTTGCAAGGACTTTTACTCCTTCCTCCATCTCATCGATAAAAAGTAATTAATTTCTCATGGGATATCTCACGGCATCTCACATCTGCATCAAAATTAAAAATCAATACCTGTATAGTATTCTACCTAGCGAGGAAATGCACTACTATAGGATTAACAGGCACTACGTAGGGCGCGTCAAAAGTATTGCGCCTCTCCAGGAAGGCATATAGGGTGGAGCAAAAGTCAAGGAACATAGGGATTTTTGAGGAATTTCATTTTCAGAGTGACTGCTTGACGGCAGCACATTTCCGTATCTCTTTTTCATCAATTTGGCCTACAAAAGTCCAGTGAAGAGTGCTCCCGCTGCATCCACTGAAATTGGCTGCAAATGAATGACCATTGAACAAGTATGGCAATTTTGCACAATCTTGCACAATTTTGCCATAATTTCACAGACATTTGAAAGCGATTTTTGCTAAGTGTTGTGAAATAACGCAACAATGGTGCATTAAACCGAAAAACGAGTGGAGTTGGTGATTTGTCCTCCCCTAGCCATTGAACCAGGACATATGTTAAAAGAGTAGTATCTTTGGATTCTTTGTTCAACAAAGGATTTAAGTCTCTACTTTCAGATCTCGAAGAGTTACGGTAGGAAAGTTGTTCGAGAACGGACCAGGGCACGAGGTAGATTTCGCGACATTACCTTCCGTGAGGCACGAGACTAGGCATTAACTCTATCATCAAGACCTTGATCGCAAGAAAGATTGGAAGGTCACAGGAATGGGTTTAGGCGAACTGGAACAAGACGTTTATGCGGGGTTCGACACAATAAGAGCCGGCAGTCGGGGGGACCAAGTACAATTTATTGATTCCTGAAATGAAAGGATAATTAAAACACTGCTTTCCTCCATCGCGTCATTTTCTTTGTAATGGGGGAGAAAAGGTTTTTGACGCTCAGACAGGTGCAACTATCAGAACTTTCGACACTGCCCGTGTTTCCGGCTCAGAACCTTTACGAACCTTTTTCACTATCGCTATCATCTGTAGCAATTGCTCGCCTTCGCTCTCGTCACTGTCAAAACCATCAACCTCTGATCTGTCTAGAACATTAGCTACATCTGAATATTTCAGGCCCGACAGTCTAAGCCTGGGCTTCCCAACCCAAGATCATATTTTAGGTCGCGAACCAGCAACTAAATACCATGCTATGTTTATTCTTTGCGATTTTAGCGCTTAGGTGGGGGAGCCAGTCAAACTTCGGCCAGTGCTTGGGGTTCCGAATGGTATGATCGTGACTTTTTGTGTCGCGCGTGAAGGTTTGGAAGCCCAACCTTCTGGTCTAAGTATTTTACTTGTACAAGCCATGTCTCGCAGACTGGAGAACTGGTGTTAAAACAAGCCCTGTTTCGAAACTATCGAAGTACTACTGAGCAGATTTCCTTGCCATACATGAGATCCCCACCTAAAGATAGCTGCCCAAACGACTATGGCGATTTACCCAGAGAAAACGAGCGACTGAAATACCATGACGAGTACATTCGTCATGTGTACCTAAGAAAAATCATGCCATGATAAGTTTACCCAGTTAAGTGGTTAATGACGCAAGGTTTCGAAATTATTCCGATTCACGAAGGAAAGCGTTTTGTTCATCGACCCGACCTGACATTGAGAAATGACAACGCTACTGGAGTGCTTCCACTTTTAAAAGTGCTTGTTGCTCTTTGCTTTTACGCGACGAACTCTTTTCACAATGTCAAGGGATTTTTCCAGCCATTTACCGTGCTTGTTAATTCGCAAGATGCTCACAGTCATCTTTAACACGTTGACTGCCACGGAAATGTTGTCCTATTGATTTTCCCATTCAATGAGGCGCACCAGTGCGCCTCGTGGCGGTCAACCTGTTAAAAACTCATTACGCTGTGCTTTCTCGCGTACGAGATGCGACGTTGCCGTCACCAACCGTCGTTGAAAATAATCGAGGATTATTATCATAAAGCATTATCAAATGCAGCTTTATCTGGCCAGTTCAAAAATAAAAAAATAATACTCCACTTTATAAAGCTGTATTATGAGTTTTTTTTTCGATTTTTGAACTCGACAGATAATGCTGCATTTGACAATGCTCTATGATAATAATCCTCAATTATTTTCAACGACGGTTGGTGACGACAACGTCGCATCTCATACGCAAGAAAGCAAAGTGGAATGAGGCTTTAAAGATGGCAGAGCGCATCGCATGAATTAACCAGAATCATAAATGGCACGAAAAACCACTTGACATTGGGAAAAGAGTTCGTCGCGTAGAAGCGAAGAGCAACGAGCACGTGCAGAAGCGGAGGCACTCCAGTAGCGTTCTTATTCCCAATGCCAATTCCAAAAAATTAAAAATTAAAAATTAACAAGACGCTTTCCTTCACGAAGCGGAATCGTTCTCAAAACTCTGTCATTAACCCTTTCCATGGCAAATTAAGGAATCGCAAGACAAAAATTGGAATTCTACATTTTCCTTACTTCGGAAGTCTTGATATGCTCATGACTATGTTACTCTCCCGAATTTGGTCATTTGTGCAACCAAAAATTGGGGAGCATTTTTGGCAAAGTCGAGAATTGAAGACGCTAATGTTTTTCCTTGTATTTGAGGCAAGGGCAGAGAAACCATTATATAAATGAATATCAATCCCAAGCCTACATATAGGATGTACAAACTGGACTTTTGGTTACTCTACAAGGATCGTAATTCAAAGGGAAAATTTTCACAAAATTTTTACAAATGAAAGATTCTTCGTAACACTGCACTCTTGCTAAAACTTGCTCATCACAGAAGGCAATTGCTGCTTTCGAGATTACCAATTAAATAATTTCGAACAATATAGCATTTCAACCCATCCATTAAAAAATTTGCTGCACGTACACGTCATTTATATTTTATGAAAAATTTGAAAATGTGTCGCCAAATGAAGACAAGGCCGTGGAAAGGGTTAAGGATCTCGATGGGATTTAATCTGTCTGCAATGACTCCTCTGTATACGGTAAAATGTCGGTGTAACCCCTTGGGATCATTTGACGGCGCATGCCTTCACAGCACCTTAAGAATGTTTTCAAAATTTTACAATCGCGATAGAGGCATCGGGATTGACATGAATTGCAAGGCAAATTTTTGTGTACCCCTGTATGGCTGCCTGGCTGCCTGGAAAAATTGGTTCAAGTCCACTCTGATTAACCCTTATCCAGTTTGATTTTCGGGAGAAATTTTTGACGGGCGAGCATAGCCATGAGAAGCGAAGAGAGTAAATAACACTTTTCTATCAAATGTAGACATATTCTTCAAGAAAGACCCAGGGTACAGAAGCAGTTTCCAGGGTCGATCTTTTAAGGAAAGAACGGTGGCAATCGCCTTTTCCCATATATTACTTGGTTCCAACGAGGGAGAGGGAGGCAGTTTTTGCATGTGCATCTCTATCCCTCAATATCAGATCAAAGGGAAAATTATAAGGATTCAGGCTGGACTATATGAATGGGAAATATATATTTACAAATTCAACGTGCACCGCGAATAGAGACCTTCCCGGGTCCCGCTTCAAACTACTCCATCTCATTTGAGACACTCGATCTAGCTATTCAGAATAAATGAATCCTAATATCTCATAAAGCCATTCCGCATCAAACCATTTAATATTAGCATGAAGTCCTTCTCGTTTCATTCATGTCTCTTGTTATGACTATCATTTCTACGTTGGATCACTCATTCACACCACTACTATACATTACCATCCCTTCCACGTCGAACCGACGACGTTCCGAATAATGAATTTCATGTAAATTTTCCATCTACTCGTACAAAAGCTGGATGTGGCATAAGGTGTCCCAAAACGTTAACGACTGTACAGGACTATGGATAGAACCCTATGCAAGACATCTTCAAGAAATTTAATCTGACCCATTCGTTGGTCCTTTTCCAAATTTCTGAACAAATTAATTTTGCAGTTCAGAAGTTGTGAACAGGTTTTTTTTCCCCTACGATTTCAAATGAGTGAATGCCTGAATGTGTCTCGGTGCTCTAATGAACTCTCGGAGGACCAGCCTCATCGTGTGTAGGAACAATCGAGTGTTTGCATATTGAAACACTTGCTTTTTTTGACATGGCGCAGAAAAAAATCAGTAACTCAGATTCCGTGCGCCCAATCTGGCTGAATTGCTCATGCTATTACTTGCTCATATTGCGAGTCACTCTATGCAAATTTCTTTTCGTATATGTTGTTCCCTTTGCAGGTTTGTGAATTTGGGAACATTTCTGGCAACTTGGTAATCAGAGTGAACTGCCTCGAGATTTTCAATTGACTAGGGACGAGGAGGCACAAACAGCAGCAGAAGCGACTTACCCTAATCTCCCTGTGACAATTTATGACATTTTCTGTGTACGCCTTACCCCACATGAAATGGAACTCAATCCTGTGTGAAAGTGAACTTATCACTTCGTTACCAGATATCATGGATAATATGGTATTTAGAGTTATGAAATATCTGGACCCAAAAGCTGGATAAGTGCTCTAGAAAAGGTCTACGCTAAGATAATGCCAGTCACTGACGAAGAGAAAGCCTTTCGTTACCGACTCGAATCGTTACATGAAACACAATTCGCTATCATTTCCCATTTTATTTATTTGTGTACGACCCTGCACGACGACGAGGTGTAGTGGAGGGCTCCAACTGGGAGGAGGGCCAATCACGTGAAGGGATTCCGCGCCGGAAGTGATGATAAAAACTTTTCCAAGTTTCTCTGTTTCCAACATGACGTCTTTTGTTTTTAAAGACACAAGTTGGAACTTGAAGAACATCTTAACTATACTTCCCAGGTCTGCGTATGTCATTCGATTTTTTTTTGTCGGATTTCTGCGTGGGAAACCGGAAAGATAAATATTGAAGACCTGAAAAAAAATTTTCTGCGAAAAAATACAACGTTAAGGGATTAACACGAGGCGATACGTTGCACACGATTGCAAACCTTGCAGCCCTTCCATTGCGACTGATGAAAATAATTCAACATTATCGACGAAAAAGGACCTCTGGACCTACTCTATTATAATCATGAACCGATGTCTAAATATAATGGAGCATTTTGGAAAATGCGCGGTTCAAAAATCGCTTTTTTGATAATAGAGTATTTTTCAGAATCCAGATTCCAGGGGAATGCATGATACATCCTGGACATAAAGCATCATTATCGGATAGTTCTCTGTTCAAAAATCCACCCTTAGACTTTATCCCCTTGGACCTTCATATGTTCAACTATTCGAAAACACACCTCAGAAAAAAAGCGATTTCGGAACGATGATGTCAAATCAGCTGTTTTTGAGTGGTTCCAACTGCAGGACATCGCCTTCTTCCAGGATGGCACTGAAGCCCTGCAGCATCTCCAGTTTAAGGGTGTCGGTTTAAGCGGGAAATATGTTTAAAACTGATCAAATTGTGCAAACCTACATCAAGTCCACCATGGCCACGCTTAGAACTTCTCACACACCCCTTATATGTCTCACGGGGAAAATATTTATTTCCGAAAGGAAATTTCCCGCTTTCTGGAAATTTTCGAGTTGGTCTAGTTCTTTCCTTTCCCCTAGATTGCTTTTTATCCCATGTAACAATGACGGCAAATTCCATAGAACGAGAAATTCATCTTTATCTAGTTTACCAACGATACTATGTCAGAATATGAGTATCGCAAGTCAAGGGGGGAAGCAGAAAATTGACCAACACATACAAATACAGGAAGCTAGGAGTCATTCCTAAACTAAAATAATAATAATAAAAGGAATAAGAATAGCTTATTAATACGCAACTAGTACGCTAAATCACTATTATTCCTCTCTTACCTTTGCTGTTGGTTGCTGTGGGTATTTTTTTGGGACTGAGAGCGTTCAAGATGGTGGTCTGTTTCTGTTTCTTCTTGGGAGTCCCACCAGCAGGACGATTCCCTTCCATAGCTTGCACAACAGGAGGAGAACAAAATTGTTTACTTTTCCCCCTCACAGACAACAAGATGAGAGGAGATGAATCTTTCCTACTTCCTTCAATAATGAGAGTTACGCATTTCCACAGCTTTTTTTTCCCGATTCCACATAAAAATGCAATCCTACAAGGGTCTTAACTCCACCAGCCAGCCAAGCGAAATGTAAATGAAGATGAAAAGGAATATAGAAAAAAGAATATGGAACCTTGCAAAGCCTTCTGGATTTTGGCTTGGTCTTCCTTGTTGATCTCCTGCCATCCTTCGAGGTCTTCTTCGAGGTTTTCGATCTTCTTAGTAGACGCCCTTTGACGGCTGAACACCTCCATCAGACAATCCAAGTGGTACCTTTAATTCAATCGTGGAGATACTATAAGGTAAATGCAACTTACAGCTGTCATTAAAGCGAATCCAGGGAATTCTGTTACTTGCATAAAAATATTCATAACATACCCCATATGCAAATATACCTATTTCAAAATTTTTCATGAACCTATCAGCTGTAATTATAGTGCATACAATTAATTACGGTTCAATAATACAATTGTATTATTTAATACAATTAATTACTGACAATTGGTTACGATGGTTACATATGGGTGGACGTTAGATGGATCCTCTGCTTTTGAATAATTGCCTAATGGATTAATTTTGGGGCGAAATATGTGTAACAAGCAAAAAATTATTTAAAACATTCAGTCCTCGTTCTCAATGGAGCATGAAGTGAGCGAACAAACATACGAAGTGCAACCAAAAATATTTTATTATGGATTTTTTTCCGGAACAAGATGCCACATAGCTCACATTATGGAATAGTTTCTGCAATGGTCGTCAAGCTAATTGCATTTTAGAAAATTCCATTTTGTAAATCAGAAGTAAATTCTTTTTTGAGGGTATGTTCACCATATCGAGAAAGCAGAGTCCATAGCAGTCTTATTGGAGGTTTGTCAACACATGCTTGTGGACAGACAAATGTATTTGGGGCACATCGACATAATGTGCACAAGCACCAACCAAATTTATTGCGAATGTCCATTGTTTTTCCTACCATTATACCCTTACGGAAAAATCCTATAGGATTCCTATAAGAATCCTAGAGGAATTTTTATGGTTAAAAAATCTCGTAAGATCCAACAGGATCTTTTTGCAAGGGTAAAGACACATAGCTATCACAGCCCTTTTTTTTTTTTACTACAATTTCACCGGACATTTCGTTCCAGACTCGTGTCTGGAACGCAGAAATCGGCATTAATCATTACGTAAATAATATATCACTAGAAAAATATAGGGTGTGCAATAAACACATTAGGCGACAACATGGCACAGTTAGTATTACTCTCTAAGGAGATACATGAGAAAATATATATTAAAACTTTTTGCATGCATCTACTAAATCACTGACTGAAATGAACGAAACTATAAAGGAAGCTTTCATACCTAGATGACTGAACTCCAAACGCTCTGAATGTCACCCCATGAAGCAGCAAAACTAAAGAAACTGCGGAGAGGTAATTTTCCCAAAGCTCCAGTTATACGCGTTTCTGTCTCAATTAGACACTTTTTTATTCCTGAAACCTCGACCGGCAATGTCCAACGGCCGATTTTGGCACAAAAGAGCAAAAGGAAATTCATAACATGTTCTAGATTTTTTTTTGCGAAAAAGAATATGAGATACTCAAGAACCTTTAAAATCTCTCTCGACCCTGACTATTGCTTTGCAAATTGTCTGACAACTCTAGTCCGGACCAAATAGAGCAACCTTGTTGATGTCGACGCGAATGAAATACGACCTGCAAACGAAATCTAGTTAGCTAGACAAAGCCAACTAAAGGAAAATGAGGTCTGGAATGAGTAAATATAGACCCTGAAAAGACTCACCATTGTTTCATGTCTCCGCCAGAGTCAGAGAAGGGGTTGGGGACGACTTTGCCGAGACGAAGGGAGCCCTTTTCCAGTTTTCCCTTACATTTCTTGCATCCTGCCTGTCCTCTTTTGGCATACTCTACCACGAACCCCTTCTTGTCCCTCTCTTCACCCTCACCTTCACTCATGATACTGTAGGGTAAGCAGAGGGCTTCCTGCTCAGGCTATCCGCCAGGGGGTCACGCATCTTTCTGCATTTCACAATTTGCATCTGATATCAAAAACTATATCAACAGCTGCATTGATTCTTCCATAACATTCTATAGGGTGTCTCATAAGTCATGCACCATAGGCTAATAATATATATTAGGTCTGGGATAAAGTATCCGGAACTTTTGGTGGATTAAGCTTGAGGGGTTCGTGCCGCGCTGGCTATGTTTGTTCTGTCGCTGTTGTGTATGAAAAGAAAGAGGCTGAAAAGCTCTGTAAAATTTTGTATATTTGCCGTGTATAGCATTTAGGTAAAAGTTTTCTCTCTCGATTGAAGAATACGGCTTGACGACCACATCCGTCATTGCTTACTTCTCCCGTTCGATAAGGGGCACAACACGAACGACGCGGTCCGTCGCATAAAGAAGTTGTACCCCGATGACTGTTTAAGCAAATCCACGGCATACGAATGGTTTGAAAAGTTTTTACGCTGAGATCGAACTCTTCAAGATGAACTCCGTTCTGGACGCCCATCCGTCATCGAAACCGATGCGCTGAGGTCCATGATCGAAGATGATCCGCACCAAACCACGTCTGAATTGGCGAGCAAACTCGGCTGCGACCGTACAACCGTGTTCAATCACCTTCACACCATGGGAAAGGTGCGCAAACTGGACAAATGGGTCCCTCACAAGTTGTCCGAAACCGGGAAGATTCAAAGAGCGACCATGCTCATCTTTGCTGTCGCGTCACTAGGAAGACCCGATGTTTGGCCGGATCATCACGTCAGATTAGAAGTGGGTTCTGTGGAACAACCAACGAAGATCATACTCTTGGCTGGACCTTGATGAACCCCCGAGCAAAATGCCGAAACCAGACCTACACCCAAAGAAGGTCCTTTTGTGCATTTGGTGGGCCCGATTCGACGTAGTGCACTACGAGCTCCTCAAGAACGGCCAGTCCATCAACGCGGACGTCTACTGCACACAACTACAGCGAGTCCATGAAGCCCTGCTTAAATCCAGGGCCGCATTGGTCAATCGAAAAAAGGTCCTCTTCTTGCACGACAACGCAAGACCACACGTCGCCAAAAAGACCCAGCAAAAATTGAAGGACCTCGACTGGCAAGTTCTGCCGCATCCACCGTATTCACCGGACGTTGCACCATCGGACTACTACCTATTCAGGTCGCTGGACAACTGTGCATGTAGCAGTTCCCGAACGAAGGTGCACTCAAAAACGCACTTGATGGTTTCTTTGGCTCACGGGATGCGGTGTTTTGGGAGGGAGGAATCGATTCTCTTAAGGAAAGATGGGGAAAAGTTATAGATTGTGAGGGAGATTATTTTGATTGATAATGTTTGTTGCATGAAAAGTTACAGGGGGTCAAAGATATGAGTCGAAAAGTTCCGGATACTTTTTCCCAGACCTAATATATAATATAACACTCCATCCTTTTCCTAGAGGGTATTAAATTTTGTGTGGGCTCTGCTAGCAGGATTTCAAAAGATGGTAGACTTAGAATTGTAAGCCCTCCCCTTCATGCCATAAAAAAAGTTTTGAGGATGTTGACGTAATATCATGCTGACACCGGGGAAAGGGTTAATGAGATTCCAATTTAATTTGAATTACTATTCCTTTGAAATTATGAATTCATTTTAAATGATGGGATATTAAATTCTAGGCACTTTTTGATCCAAATTACAAATCAATATAGTCTTCAGAAAACTGAACCCAACTCAATTTTAATATATATTATTTTGAATTAATCAGAATCTTCCCAATTTCAGATTGAACCAATTTGCTTCAAAAATATTCTAGCAGTAACCATAAAGCCATAAGCTATTGATTTTTGTGCTTCTGGGTGACTATATACAGAGCATAGTGGTGGAAAGAGGATGAGATCCTTAAACATGCTATAATTAAATAGTTCAGATCCAATACTGGTTTTGCAATGCAAGTTTAGTCCAGCATCCCAAGGGAAGAATAATGAGCCAAAGCATTTGAATATTTCTACCCTCACATCAAAATCTCTCATGAAATTGGCATAATTCACATCTGGGTCAAACCAATCATCATTCTTTGGGAATGAACCTGGAGTCGAATTGCAAACCCCACATCTTATCAATTATTTACAGCTCAATTCAAACCATGAATCATACTGGGTCTTCTCTGCTTTATTCTCAAAATTGTACAGTAGTATGTAGAAGTAGTAGTTGACTGAATGAAACCTGGTATGATAATTTTCCCATGAAAGTAAAGAGCATATTTTTTTTTTTAACAACCTATAGAAATACCCTCCCATAATCTATAACCCCACCAGGCCAGACTTGCCAGAAGAGAAAAAAAAGAAAACCAAGCAGCAATAAGATTCAACTGAGCCTACCAAGATTGCTATGATCAGTAACCTTATGGTGCTGATCACTGTTGAAGATAACCAGTCCAGAATGGAAACAACCAAAGCACTGTTATTTCTGTAATCTAAGTAAATCCAAATTGGAGTAAAACTCTTCATATTATGTTACTCTCTGTGCCATATATCCAGTACCTATCCAACTATTATTACTCTTTTATCTGGGTATTACTACCCACCCACTTAGTACAGTTCACATTACAGACATTTTTTATAAGGTAGAGATTGAGTCACACTTTCTCAAAAAAATAGAAATTATTATGGTTTTTAAGGCATGGTCATATGCTGATACACCAGACCCTAAAAGGTTATTCATAAGGAAACACTGTGCATCAGCACTGTATAACTGCATGAAAGAGACAGCCTACCTCATTAAACACCTCCAGTTGTCGCTGTCTGAAAGCAGACTCGAGTTGCAAGGTGATGTTCTCACGTTTGGCATCAAAAAGGTACTTCTGTCCCTGAGCATACCATTGAGACTTCTTCTCATTACTGACACTTTCTTGTAAGAAATTGACACAGCTCTCTCTGAAGTTTCGAAGTGCATTCTCCTCAGACTGAAAAACAAGGGTGCATTTGCAAAGAATACAAAGAAACTGATTCAAGAATTAAAAGCATCATGTAGGTCTATAATGCAGGTTTTGTTCACCAATTAAGATTGACATACTTGCAATTCATAATAAAACTGATCTTTAACATCTTGACATAATATTTTTTCACAGAAAATAGGTGGCTTTCCAAGTCTTCAATACTTAAACTAGCCAGCAGTGCTCAATAGATGTGATTCATTTGTCACCAATAAGTCTACTTCTCATGGTGGCATTCTAATTGTAATGTTCTTGACTCCACCCTCTTGGTATTGTATCTGGCAAATCAAGTCACAGCATTAACCCTTTCACTGTTATACAAAAGAATATCTGCCATCCCCCCTGTGTTATAAAAATTGGCTCTGCTTACCTGAAAACAATAGTTCTTATAAGAAAATGTAATATGGTAACTATAGAAGATAGCAGTGAAATAACCTAGAAACAATGGTCTGAGCCCAAGAACATACGTGGGCTACCACTAAATAGCCCTAATATGTACTTGGGCAAATAGCCAAAGGGTTAAAGTTATGGTTTTGAAAGAGCTGGAGTGGGAAGATACCTCCACAGCAGAGTCCATGATTCAAAAGAAAACTCTGGTTATTCTCTTCCCATTCCTGTTCTCATACTCAAAGCACACCCTCACATTCAGGCCTTATCTTCTCAGCAGAGGTATAAAGACACTGCACCATCAGAGAACACAGTGACAAGTAATATGATATTTTTTTATGATTTAGAAAAAAAAACAGCATTCATGGCATCAACATTTTTTTAACAGGCTGAAACTGCACCTACCTCATCTGAAAAAGTTTAAAATGTCTGACTATTTCTGTTTTAGTATTCAAATGACCAAGACACCTGAACCATAAAGGCTTCCAGAGCTTAGCTCTCACTTTGCTCTCTCACTTGCATTCCCATCTAAAACACTCTTTACAAGTTCTGCTCCTTCCCTGGAATAGAAGTGAACTGTGTAAAAATTTATCCAGAAGCTAAATCCTGTAGCACAATGGATACACTTGAAAAGAATACCGAAAAGTTTGGAAATGATAACCCACCAGCTACTCCACTAAAGATTGATGACAGTGGTCAGAATGTAAAAGGTGCACAATATGGACCATCAGACCATGACATTTGAGTAAGGATACACTTCACAGCAGGTAAATACTTTCTTAACTTAGGGCCAACCAAAATGCCAGGAAAAGCCTCCTAGATGAACACTTGAATAAGAGTATGTTAGACTAAATTGAAAAAAATCACCTCTGATTCCTTCTTGATCCATGCCTTCATCTGGGGACCAAACTTCTTGACAGCATAGATGACAATAAAAGCTAGAGATAGCCCTGTGTAATACTCATGCTCCATGACATAAATTTCTTTGCTGCATAGGAAGGTGATGAGACCAGTCCCAAAAAGGTAGGGTCCTGCATGCATAAATCACAAAAATGAATATATATTAAGACTCTTCTTAAAATAGTATCTAAAAGTGCAGGCTAAAGAAAGAGCATGGAATTCAATTTGTGCACTAATCATCCTACCTGTCACTCCTGTCTTCTTGTAGAAGAACTGAAACCAGTCATCAGGGAGAAATCCTAATCGAACCTTAGGCGGTTCACTAGCCTGAACTGGACGAGGGAAGTTCTTCAAATCTCTTTCAGGGTCTTCTTGAATCCTAGCATAATCATCACTCGGGGCCACAGCTTTGTAAGCCTCAGGAAGCGTGCTTGACTGACGTACAAGTGCTAGGCCAATCCAATGTGAGCGTCCAAAGTCACCTGCATGCACAGAGGGGATGGGAATAGGTGCCAATCTCCAATTGGGTAGGGGGGGAAAGTTCAAATGGATAAGGCATAATAGATCCCTCTCTCAGCAATTTATTTTACATGCTGCCTGCTTGACTTTAGCACCATTGGCATTTTTCTAACCAAGCTAAGCAACATTCAAAATACATAGGCCTAGGAAAATTACTACAAAAATTTGCATGCTAGAGCAAGTCATGAATTTTGGGGTTTATAATTTTCTACCAAAAAGTACAGTCATTTCCAGAGATCACAATCCTCCCATAGAGATGCATGGGGAGAAGGATAAAGTGTGTAAGCCCACCCAGAGGTTAATTCCAACTCTGAGAGCATCTTCAAAAAATGCTTTTCCAAATATATAGAATGGTGTTGAGACCACACTGTTTCAGGATTGATCCTTACATATACTCCATCATTGAATTGTGAAGTAGCAGCTCCCTTGCTCCAGAACAGGGGTGTTGAACTGGATTAGGCTGGGGGCTGGATCGAAATCTTCAGGGGTGATTTGGAGCCACAATAAAAACCTAACACCTAATCTTTAATGCAAACAGGCTGAAACTTGCAGTACTTTTCTGTAACCAACTGCTGAGGACTTCAGGGGCCGGACAAAATAGACCGTCACCAGTCCATTTTGTCCACCATGGGCCACCAGTTTGACACCCTTGCTCTAGAAGGAATGTTGCTCCATGGGCTTGATTTGTAGATAAGCAGTTTTTGGATAAAATTGGTACCCTCCCCATAGAACCACTTCCATCACTTGCAGGTAGTGATGTCTTCCACATGGGTGGTTTCATGGATCACCTGATGAAGCAGATCCTTTAGAAGTAGTGAGTGCTTTCTCTATTTCCCACTAACAAAGGGATACCAATTCAATCCAAAGACAATGTATCTGCCATCATAATCAATGAGGTTTGTAATTAATAGATGTCCCTTGAGCATTATCAACAGCAATATTAAAGGGTGGTACACTGTTTTCAGATAGAATTCATAACTCCCTCTCAGCAGTGGAAAAGGTAGGAAGTACTACAGGATGGGTTATCATAAGTTATCCATAACACTTCACAGCATAGTTTCTTGAGGGTTTAAAAATATTGCAATAACATCTCTATACAGAACATTTATCTAGCTTTCCACTGTCAAAAGATTTTGATGAAGATGGATTTAAGATCCATTCCATTATTCCAATGCAGTTATGCACAGAGGTAGCACTTGAAAAGTGCACTTACTTGTACCCTGTAAGATGTGCCCTAAGTGACATCCATTTCTTCACTGGCACATTCATAATCTTGCCAGGATGTTGTACACTCTTCCAAATCCACCTCTTCTACTCTTTATCTAACTGCATGGAAGTTATGTCATATATCTTTATTCTGTTGACATCATTGATTAGCAGAATGAATGTTCCATACAGAGACTCTATTGCAATTTCAGCCAATCATGGGGGCCAGGGCTATGGAGTGATAAAGATAGCCCACTTTTTTTTTTTACCCACTCTGTACTTCTGGATGAACTGCCTCATCAGATGATCCCCAAAACCATCAATGTGGAAGATGTCACTAACAGTACTCAATGAAAGAACTTCTGTGGGGGAGCTATGAATTAAATCCAAAAACAGTGAAGATGGGTAAAATTCAATCTAAAAATGTACAATCATACTGACCCTAAATATCTAGAGGACACTATTTGAAGTTAAAGGTTTGCTTAATTCCTATATCCTTTGCCACATACTATGTCAAATATAATACAAACTATCACATTGAGGTATATTTGCATGAAGTTGAAGCTATTTCAACAAAGCTTTGCATGATGTGGCTTATCAGATACAAAGTTCCCAGCTCGCCTGTAACATGCAACCATCTGTTCACCAACTAAGCAAAATATTACCTCTGCTGCATATAATTTCTTCACAAAAGAAAGATTCATGCAATAAGAGGTTAAGGGCATCCATAGTGAAGTAGGGGAACTGATTTGTTAGAGTGATGGAAATTTTCGCTAAGGCCAGCAGGGCCATTGAAAAAAAATTATTCCTCTCCTCATCCTTCACCACTCATGGACATGGTCAAGAAGCACTTCCATCATTCATCTAACTTGCTTTCCCAACTTTCCGTTGAAACCATCACATCTTAAAGATGGCTCTTGCAACTTAGGTCTATACAAATGAAAGCTTACGAACAGCACATGAAAGCTGTTCCCACTGTTAAGGAGCTACATAAATAGCATGGACATGAATATAACTAAGGCCTAAGGAGACGACGGTGAACTCACTTCTCAACGAATGACTAGCAATCCTATGTAAGAGGCTCATCTCCGATCCGACCTGGCTGTTATTTTCGGCGGAAAATACGGCCAGTCGCTGTAATAGCGCTGAGTATCACCAGGAATTTTCGTTAGCAGTCGTTGCCCCGTCCTTCCCTGTTGCAGCAAGTGACCATGGACGGGGTAAAGCTAGAAGCAGACGACTCGCTGTAAAGGAAAAACGTTCGACATTGCGATATGCGAAGAAGACTTTATTCCGATTCCTTATCAACCTCAAGAAGGAAAGTGCTAATTTTTGCTAACAGCAGGGAACAATGAACAGCTCCTCATTCAACATTTAAAAATTTCCAATTTAACACTCTACTTTGCTTGGAAAGAGATTCGAACATTTCTTCAAGACCAGAAAGCCATCGAAGGTAACGTCACGCAGAAAATGACTGAAACCAGGGGCCCGTTCCTCGCCTCTGCTAAACTTAAATCTAAATTTAAATCTAAATCTTAGTCTAAAGGGTCAGAGCGAAGAATATACTTTTTGCTTTTAGACTGCTTTTAGATTTAGATTTAGATTTAAGTTTAGCAGAGGCGAAGAACAGAGCGAGGAGAGGGCAAGGAATAATGGTAAATGGGGAAGCGTCGACGGAGGTCGGAATCGCAACCCCCTCAGGGCTCAGTCCTGGGACCGCTTCTGTTTTTGGCCTACATTAACGATTTAGATCTTGGTGTAGAGGGTAAGATTATCAAATTTTCACACGACATCAAAATAGGTTTTTCTGTAAGGGGGGAGGCGGATAGGGCCAGTGCCGAGCGAGATTTGTGGCTTTTGAATGAGTGGAACAAGATATGGCTCATGAGGTTTAATAAAAGTAAAGTGAAAAGTTCACGTCGGTCAAAATAACGGTAGATCTCTCAACGCGTTTGGCGTAGATAAACTGGGGGAGGCAAACGGAGCAAGATTTAGGGGTTTCTATTGACGAAAGGCTCGTCCACACCAGGAAAGTTTTCTTTGCATAGACAAGGAATGAATATTACAAAAGAAACCTTTCAGAGATAGTCCACACCAGAAACTCTTCTATGCGAGTTTTCTTTGCAAGTCGACTTTCAAAGAATACTTTCACAGTGTGGACGTCTTTGAAAGGTCTTTATGCAAGGATTTTTCTTCGTCAGAGCGTTCTCCATGCCAATGTTTATGAAAGTGAAGCATTCAAGATGGCTCCCTTCACAAGGAAATCAACTTGTGGCAGCAGAAATCGTCACGATTCTTCTTTTTTTTTTTTAAAGAGAAAACGGAGGCACGCCGCTCGATTTGGGCAGTGGTGGCATGAACATGGTGCTTATTCGTCTCTCATGAAAGTGAAAGAGCTTCTGATTGAAGATCCCCTTGCATTCAAGAATTTTGCACGAATGAGTGGGCAGGATTTTGAGGAACTCCTGAGACGAATTGGACCGTTTATTTCGCGAAAGGACACTCTCTATCGTGAGTCCATTTCGGCTGGAGAGAGACTGTTAATTACTCTGAGATTTTTGGCGAGTGGAGACGGCTTCTCCAGCCTTTACCGCTTATCTCTATCGCGTGTCAAAACAATCCATATCTCCCTTCATCCCAGAAGTTTGTGATGCTTTGTGCAGGGAGTTCATTTTACCAGTTAACCCAAAGAATTGCAAATAATAAAAAAAGGAATAAAAACTCAGAGATGCATGAAACTTGGTGAAATGAGAACCAGGAAGGTGTAAAGTGCAAAATCACCGTCCCAATTCGTCACAACATAAGGTGGAAGTGGTCACCGCCATGTTCAATGCACAAGCCTGCACGACGAAGCATGTTACTGAACTCAGACTGTAAGACCGCTGGCTGAATGTTGTATAAAGGATCATGGCCTCGACACTCACCTCACTTATCATCATCGGATTACTTATTGTTGAGCTATATTAAATACCAGGCATATGCGAGCCCCACACTCTGGAAGAGTTGCAACGCGTCATTACCAGCCGGCAGTGTTACAGTCTGTGTCCAGCAACATGCTTTGCCATGCACGCTTGTGTATTGAACATGGCGGTGGCCACTTCTGACATATGTAGTGACGTGCTGTGACTGTGATTGCCATTTTGCACTTAACAATGTCCTGTTTCTCATATCACCGAATTGCATGTATATCTGAATTGTATTTCCTTTATTTTTTGGAGGGGAGGGGGGTTAACTGGTAAAATGAAGACCATATATCATACTTCAATCTGGCTAAGTTCATTCAGGTATCATGGGATAATCATGGCCTAGCGCACCTATGGAATACGCAAGCGCAATCAAAATTTGCACATTTCAAGATCAGATGTCTTGTCCAGTTCTAGCCATTATTTTCCGAGCTCCTGCAACGGGAAGTTCCTGTTCGGCTCTCCACGGCACATACAACACTATTTCGGTATCCTTTCGAATAAACGAATGCATTCTGGCTCTTAGCAAAAGCGAGTGAGGGAAGATTTAGCTGAGTTTTTCTCCTCTGAAACTGGTATTGTTCCCTGGCAGTGGGCTTTGCAATGAACTGAGAAAGTGTTTTAGGTTTTGTTTTTTTTTTTTCCCCCGTGCCATTGGCTATTCAATGCTTTGTGCTGAAAATGAAAATTTTCGCATTTTTCAAATAGCTTTGTGTCTTTTACTTCCCGAACGTCGGTCAAACACAAAAAGAGCTTGTAGGCAAACAGCAAATTTCAACGCTGCTTGCTCCACTCCTCATTGATATGTCCACTTTCATCTCTGCATTCTACTTGACTTTCAACTTTCAAATTTTACTTTGCACTTCAGCCACCGGTACTTCCAGTTCCGTTGCCAGATTAGACCTAGCATCTTGCTTTCTTTTCTTGTCCTTGTACAGGACACTTCTCACGTTCCAAAGGCACTCTTCATTTCAATATTTACCATTCAACTCAACAGTCTTTTCCCTGTCCCGCTCCATTTTCGACACTGAAATCTTTCACCTATGCAAGAAAAGTAGACTGAGTTTCTACTTTTGAAAGTTTCTTGTAAAGAGGACTCGGGAAGAAAAATTATTGCCAAGGAAACTTTCAAAGACGTCCACGCAATGAAAGTTGTCATTGTTTGACAAAGCGTCACTGCTTTAGGTGATCGTTTCCGGGGATTAGTTTGGCGACATGGGTCTTATTGAAATTTAGTATTTGGCAAGTATTCTCCATGATTATTCATCCCCCACCCTTAATACTCCAATTTTATGGTACACTAGCTCACCAAATTTCATAAAGATCGCCTTACTCCTTCTGGGTCAGGCTTTTTTTGCGATGTGCATATATTCTAGATTTTGAGAAATTTAGTGTTAGCCAACTGGGATGAGACTGCAAAGAACACACACAAAGGTAGAGAGAGAACAGGAATCAATCATTTTGACAGATAAAAATTGTGAATGCATTTGTTTTGCAGGATTCTCATTGTTAGGAACATCGCATGGTATGCAATTCCTGTCACTGTATACATAGAGACTGATGCCACCCAGCGGCGTAGGCAGGGGGAGGGCTGCAGACAGTTCGAGCCCCCAGAAATCCTGCTTACGCTGCTAATAATAATAATGATACCTAGTAATATTTACCACTGAGCAGCGAGTCGCTGCTCAGTGGTAAGTGTAGAAGCCATTACCTAAAAACGAGGAGAAAACTTGAGACCTACGTTTCAGAAATAGCAAAGCAGAAATATTAACTTCACGGGTTAAGTAGTTATATCATTTCGCGTTTGGTTAGTGACTTGTTACACCCTATATATGTTGCTTAGAAATAAGGCTCGTTTGCTGAATTAACTTTGCATTGTCACTTTGTAGGCATACGGACAAAACGCTAACCTCACGCTACTCTGCGGACATCATAACTCGTCGTGCTCGTTTCTGAACGTTAGTAGCCTTTGGGTACGCTGTGGGGACCGATCGCGCACGTCTTGACCAATGGCCATGGTGGAAGCCTCGAAATCGTGGTACAGTAAATATCTTATAAATATCAAATATGGTTTGGTTAAAATCTGGGTGACCTGTTTTGCCCCAAACCCCGTCAAACCTCATCACCCTCTATTTCATATCAGTGGGACATCGGATTTCCATCCATGAAGTCTGATCCCCAGTTGCATGGCCGTAACGAGGGAGGTGCGAACTTGTGAGCCTGTACAGAGTCGAAATGAGAGGATGCCGATTGGCTGCCGAATTATACAAAAATACTGTACCATTAACAATTTACGAATGCATCGTAATTACTTGAAACATTGAATTTTCCGTATTGTATTTATATGTCTGATTTATTATACTCTGAAAGCGTCTGTATTTTGTTATTTTGTAACTGCATGGCATAACTTGAAACTTTCCTAGTTTTCTGTATTCTTAGTATTCTTACTCCAACACAAATCTAATCCCTGAGGAAAAAAAATATGTCGCATTTCATGGTCTAAATATAGTATTGAATTTCAAAGAATTGATAGACACATAATCTCATATGTATTAAAATGCAGTAAAATATTAATTTTATTGCAATTAATTAATATTCTGGGCTTAATTATATTAAGCATAGAAATAATAGATTTTTTTAAAAATAAAATTAACACGAAGTGCATTGTTGGTGCTGGGGAAACTTGAGGGGTGGGAGGCGCTGGATTGATATCTCGCACAGGGCGCCAAAAACCCTTGGTTTTGCTCTGCCGAGTAGAACCCGACTTTCTCTATCCTCAGGGTCAGAATTACTCCTAATCTCGTTAGGGTGGGTAACCCTTTTCCCCTCAAATGTACTGGTACAGTAGGCCTACAGCCGTATTGAGGAATTCTGTCTACCCCTTCGTCGTCAGTTGAAGAACCGTATGAAGGAAGACCGTTCGATGCTGCTTGGCCAAGGCAATAACTTTATGTAGGGAGCATTTGGTTTATTCATAGATATTAAATTACAGGTTTGAGTAAATGAGTTTTTATATTATATTTGGTGTGCCTTTAGGCGACCGTCTATGAGATGTGGCATTTAGGACGGTATTGACGTTAGGTTGGAGCACGGATTGAGGGAGGAGGCACCACTAAGAAAAAGGAAATGATGAATACCTCCTGCCCCCTTTGGCGCCCTAGGAAGTGGCACTCATTTACTGATGGAAAGCTGGCTGTTTCTAGCTGGAACTTTTTGCTGGGATATTCACCTAGTTCGAGCAATAATTCGCCCGCCGCTCCATTCAGTTCCAATGAGATATCATCCCGGATGAATCCTTAGTCTCATCCTTACCCTTCGGATAAATGCTTCCTGGCACCTTCCTCGTAAGAGCCTCTGCCTTGGGAAAGAAGCTAGGGTTGAGAAGACGAGAGGCACTAATTCCATGATTCGTAGGAGGCTGCCTTCAACTAGAAACATAGGAGCAAACCTTAGTCGAAACGAAGGTCTCTATTGTGTTCTGCAACACATCTCCAGCGTCTTCTCGCCTAGACCAACTGGGAAAAGAAAAGCTAGGCACTGTAGATACCGCGTTTAAACTATGGTACAGTATTAGTCAAATATTTGAAATCAATGGGGAATGTAGAAGGTGCTCTATGTGGCCGTCATTCCTTATGATTCACAGTTCCAACCGAGTAACCACTCGTCCCTTGTCAGTTCCAAATCATTGCCAACAGCAGTGGCGGCTCGTCAGGGTAGGCAGGGTAGGCAGTGCCTACCCAGTTTACAATCAGAGTTCTCAAATTAATATTTGATAATTAATTATTCGATTAACACAGCTGGAAATATTTTTTTCATTGCG